TTTTATTAAGATACTTTATAAGAAAAGCTTAAACAAAAAGTTTTTAAAAGACTTAAAGAAAATAAATTTTAAATTTTATATAAAAAAAATAAGTTTTCATGATATAATAAAAAAAAATATAAATTTTTTGATCTATATGTTATGTTTTAATGACGAATCTATTATTAATGTGGTAATAAAAAATTCCAATATTAACTAAAATGAATATGTCATAAATATAACTATTCAAAATGTGTACTGTATGTTATTATTAACTATTAAATCAACTAAGCCATATATTATAGATAATTATCGGTATCATTTTGTTTATAAAATTTATTGCAATTTATTTCTATATATTTAGATAATGCTTATTTTTAAAAAGTAAATTGCATTTGATGCCCGCCATGGTTTTCAAATAAATAATATTAATATTTCGCTTTTACATTATTATTCATAGTTCGTTTCTATTACTTTATCAGACGCCACATCAAATCACGTCTACAAAGCATTCTTTCTTGTCAAATCCTCGAATCTCTTGTAAGTGTATCCGACAAATGCCAAGTCCTTTTGATTGTATTCACCAGTGGGGCGTTCTATACGTGAGATCATTGAATTAATAAAGGAAAAAAATTCAAAAAAATGCTATGGCAAATCAATAGCGTACCAGCTACAGGAGGTTGTTCGGGAATCTTGTCCAAATCTTCTGTAGGGAAATAGCTAGTATCTGTAATAGACTTCAAATTAGGTACAAATGGTGCTTCAATATTACGGATGGTATCCCAATCTACTCCTGTGAAAAATGGATGCGATTTGATCTCTTCGCTACCATGACGTCCCAAGCGTTGTTCGGGTGCACAAATAAGCCTGAATGATAACAAAATCAATTATCATAATTCCATAGTGCAGGCCATTACATTAAGCTGAAACGATAATAAATACCCCCGAATTAAATCCTCGGCCTCGACACTCAAGTGGACATCATCAGGAAAATATAATTGTTCTCGCCAATTAATGATCTTCCGGTAAGTTTCGTGAGCGTTTTCACTACAGAATGGCGGATATCCAACAAGACATTCAAACATAATAGCACCAAGTGACCACCAATCACACTCCTGACTATATCCTTGTTGCAAGAAAATTTCGGGGGCAATGTAGTCGGGTGTACCCACAGTTGAATAAGCCTACGAT